AAAAAAAAAACCCTCAGAAACGAAGTGTTCTGCACCAGAATGAACTTATCCTTCAATTCCATTTTCTTACAGCATTTTAAAGTACACTTGAATATCCAGAAATGCCTTCTGATCTCGTAGTAATATTCTGTTTCTTCCCTTCGCCTGTGCTTTCCACCCCTAACCTCCCCCCAAATTATTGATGATAAAGAAATGACCACTGGACCTCCAATACCACATGAAGCCAATTGCAAATAACTGATTAACCACAACTCTGCCCAATACACTAGTATAATCCGGTTTCCAAGGGTAAGAAAAGTCTAAGTTTGGTCTCTAAATGTCCGCATCACAAGTATCCATGAAGGCACAGCAAGCTGAAGCAAATACTAATTAACCACAGAACTAAAAATATTAAAAAGATTGATTTATTTTATTTGAAAGGCAGTTAGAGAGAGACACACACACACACACACAGAAAGAGAGTGAAAGACAGAGAGAGAGAGAGAGAGAGAGATCATTCATCCGCTGGTTCACTCTACAACTGGCTGTAACATCCAGAGCTGAGACAGATTGAAGCCAAGAGCTTCTTCTGGTCTCCTATGTGGCTAAGGGGCCCAAACACTTAGGCCATCTTCCACTTCTTTCCCAGGTGCATTTGCAGGGAGCTGGATTGGAAGTGGTTTAGCCAGTACTCAAACTAGCACCCACACTGGATGCTGGCATCTCAGGTGACAGCTTTACCTGCTACACCGCAATGCTAGCCCCAAATGTTAAAATATTTTAAAGATGTTTTAATTGCAAAGTGATTTCAGCAGATATTAAGACATTTGACTTTCTCAAAGTTGTGTGATTCACATTTAAACAATGAGGAAACTAGGGGTAAGAAAGGAGAAATGATTCACTCAAGATAACAGCTAGTAAATATTAAAACAAGGACTCATGCTTTAGTACTGCTCAGAATTAACGTGCTCACTTAGGAGGTTTGGATGGCCTGGTAGGAGGATGCAAGGAACAACATTACTAAAATTCATTCACAGTCTGCAGTTATGACTACGCCTACCTGAAACCCATAATATACTTTGGAATGTCATTTTAGCACTGGTGGAAAAGACATGTTTTGCATTGCAGAAGCATTTTACAATTTCTTTCCTAATTTTACAGACATTCTCCAGTGCCTCCTGGGAAATAGTAATAGACAAAATTTTATAAATTTGTGCTAACTTTAAGAAAAGGGAAATGCATGAGAAACTCAGGAAAATATTCTTAGGAATGTGCAGTAATATTAAGTCCAGATTAGATATTTCCTGCATTAGAAAGGGCTTTGTAGTCACAGTCATTTATATTCTTTGCCAACATGATGGCAAGCACACTGCATAGCCAGAGTGAGTGGTCTTAGTGTCAAGGTCTTGCTCATAGATGATTCTCCATGGGTTTCTCACATTTCTACACGTCTTGTGAACAGAGGCTAAAGTAACTGATGTTATTCCATTCAATCAGTTCAGTAATCAGTGAATAGCCCTGGGAGATGGAGATACTGTCTCCCTTCAGAAGAAAGGGTAGGCATAGTTGATTTGGATTCTCCAAGTTTGGGATCTGTCTTTTGTAATGCTTACTGTATAATATATCATGCTTACTGGTGCTGCCTGTCTGTCTTCATGTTTTCCTATGGGAATTGGTGCTTCAAGAATGGGTGCAAGGAAATGCTGTCAGTGAAAGTCATAAAGTTAGTTGTCCCTGAACCAGAGATGTCCTGTTTCTTCCTGTATTCATAGAAGTATGACAGGCTAGTTTTTAGCTTGCAAACAACCTTTGCAATTCTTGTTTAGCCTAATGCAAAAACAAAAGAATCCATCCATACCCAACACATTCAGAGTCCATACAAATACAGTTTTGTGAGTCTCTTGCATTTATAGGATGATAATTCTGACATTTCACAATGGACCATTGTCTATATATATAGATATATAGTTGGTGAAAAACATTCAGCAAATAATGATACTGTGGACAGTTGGAGGCCTTTCCGATAATTCATTGCTTATCCTATAGTGCTGACTTTAGTCTATGTAAGACCAGGCTTGAGCACCCTGGAAACAGGTCTTCAGTCTGAGAAACCTCTTTTAATTTCCCTTTTATTGCTCAGCATGTTTGGACATTAACCTCAGTAGGCTAGATTTTGGCCCCAAGTTAGACTTGTAGCTCATCCTTGGATGATAATAATTGTTCTGACTCCTGAGTTTTTATTTTGATGAAACGATAGCACAGCAAACCAGCTCTGATGAAATTTATGTTCATTTAAGGCCGAGACTTTTTTCTATAGAATTCTAGGATAAGTAGGGCTCAGTAGTAAGACAGAAAGTTCTCCAAGCTTGGACTCTTTAAAGCTGACCGTGATTTTCTAAGTTTTAATACTACCTAGTGACCTCGTTTCTGGGGACCCCTTCAGACTTTTTGTTTATGTTGACTCTCTACAGCATTTGGCCCTTAGTTTCGCCCTGCTCACAAGTGCTTCCCTTTTCTTCTGCTATTCTGCCGTGTCTCTTTGAAGCACCTCGGAAGTCATCCAGTTGAATTGCAGAGCTGGCCAACCCTGACGCCTTGCAGCAGCTCAATAAATATTTGTAGAATGATTGAATAAAAATACCAGGTCTTCTGTTGTGCCTTTTGTAGAGTTCTTCAATCTAATGAAAACCCTGATTTCCCCAATTTCCCCAATAAGAAATACATGGAGGCGGTGGTGTTGTGGCGCAGTGGGTTAAGCTACTGCTTGAAATGCAGGCATCCCATGTTAGAGCTGGAGTTGGAGTTGAGCCCTGCCTGTTCTGCTTCTGATCCAGCTTCCCGCTAATGCAACCTGGCAGAGCAGTGGAAGATGAGTCAAGTACTTGGGACCTTGCCATCCACATGGGGGAGACCTGGATGGAGTTCCAGGCCCCTGACTTTGACCTGTCTGAGCCCTGGCCGTTGTGGTCATTTGGGGAGTTAATCAGCCGATGCAAAATCTCTCTCTCTCTTTTTCTCTTTGTCTCTCTGCCACTCTGCCTTTCAAATAAATAAAATAAATCTTTTTTGAACAAAGAATAACATGGAAAGGAGATACATAATCTATAATAATTATGCTACAAGAAATGCAGTAATATTGATCATAATACTAGCATCAGCTGAATGCTTATGATATCCCTAATACTGTGCCAAGCACTTGACATATAGAGGTTTATTTAATCTTCACAAAATTACTGGTGGATTTTCAGCATTTTATAAATAAGTAAATGAGCACAGAGAACTATGTCATTTTCCCAAAGTCACAGAGTGGCAGCATTGAGAGTCTATCGCCTTGTAAGCATCAGAGATATTTGCTAAACATATCATGCAGTTAAAAACAGAAAGTAAAATTTTGCTTTTGAGTAGGGCTGAATGAAGTTGGCCATAAAAATGTCTTCTTTATCCAGGTAACATATTGGTCATCAGGTGAATCACCTGAAAGTTTAGAAGTTCACAGCTACACCTGATGAACTTGACTTTTGTTGAAGGCAACCCTGTGGCATTGTAGCCCAACTCCTCATTTACAATTTTTCACTCCTATCAATTGGATGGTTAGTTAATTCATTCTTTATTCTAAAGATATCTAGTGAGGTGGGCATTTATTCTACATTGGAGTGCCTGGGTTTGAGTCCTGGCCCTGGCCTCTGATTCTAGCAGCCTGCTAGTGCAGCAGTGGAAGGCAGTAGTGATGGCTCAAGCAATTGGATTCCTGCCACTCGTGTGGGAGACCTGGATCGAATTCTCAATTATTGTCTGTGGCCCTGGCTCAGCCTTGGGGTTTTGAGCATATTAGGGAATGAACCCACAGATGGGAGCTCTGTCTGTCTCTCAAAAAAAATTTAAAATATTTACTGAAACCCAACTTGGTGTGTCATATTGTCCCTAAATAATTCTGGCCAAATAAAGAGAATTCGTTTTGGAGGAGAGAGACATCTCTTGTGGCCCTGCCTGAGCCAAGAGTTTTCCCTGCATGTTGTGAGGAAGATAGAGGAGCCAGGAAGATGTGGGATACAGAGTGAGGGACTTGCTATTGACTGCAGGCTCACTCACAAAGGCAGGGACTGAGTCTGTCTTTTACTGTTACTTCTGTACTGAGGGTGATGCCTGACAGTGCATGAACGTGGTTAAATGGATTAAAGCAACAGCCCTCTGGGGTATTCCTTTTTGCCTTAATCATTCTTCTGGAATTTTACTTACTAAGTTGTTGACTGGAATAATTGGACACTGTATATTAGCTTACTATAAATTAAATTAAATGTGTTAGATTAAATGTGACCAGTTTTCGGTTTCTACTCTTTCTTTTTCATTAACCAGAAACTAACCTCACTATTCAACAGATCTCATTTTCTTTGGGATTGAATTTTGGAGATCAGAAAAGTTCTTCTTTTCTTGTTCCCAAGGTTCAGAGAACAATGCCATAGAAAAACTACATATGACTGAACCATGATGTGGAACCATAGGAAATTTACATGTTTAAGAACTTTCAGTCTTTAAACAAACAAAATCAATGCTTATGTTTAATGATGTACTTTATAAAAAAAATTACAGGGCAGGCATTTGGCATGTTGATTAAGACCCTAGCTGTGATACCTGCATCCCAAAGCAGAGTGCCTGGCTTCAAGTCCCCGCTCCACTTCCTAGTTCAGCTTCCTGCTAATGGGCACTCTGTGAAGGAGCAGGTGATGACTCAAGTGGTTGAGTCCCTGCCAATGACATGGGAGACTTAGATTGAGTTCCTGGCTCTTGACTCTGGCTTGATGCAGGCCTGGCTATTGTAGATATTTGGGGAGTGAACCAGAGTAAGGGGGATCTTTGTCTCTCATGTAATCTAATAAAATATTAAAACACTAAAACAACTGAAGTATCCAACAAAGATTAAATAGTTCTCTACAAACATTTCCATTGTACACTCCAGAATGGCTGCTAATTTTTGGCTATCATGGATCCTATTTGTGATTTGTGTTTTTTTTTTTTTTTATCAGAATTCTTACTACTAGATGACCTGCATTACAAAAGCCTGCTTTCCCAGATCCTACTGCTGTGTGAGTATACACTGGATGATTTATTTTATGCAATTTGAGGTTGTGTGTGAGTATCATAAGATTGAGAGGAAACCGTGGAAATTATGGGTTCTTGGTTCACTACTTCAACAAATATTTAATGAGTGCCAACAAAAACAGTATTTACTGCATGCCTGAAAAAACAAATAGACACAGTCCTGGCCTCCTTGGAGTTCATTGTTTATGGTTTGTGTTGTTTGTATTCAAAGAGTTTTGTTAGTGAGTATAAAATTATAGCTGGGAGTTTTGAAGGAGTGTGTATAAGGGCAAGTGTGAGGATGGAGAATTGATCAGGTCACTGGGGTTCTTTCTGAGGAAGTGAGAGCTGAGCCAGACTGAAAAGCAGATGTTAACCTGATGAAAGGGGATCATTGGTGGGAACATGAAGCAATACAGTTCAGTTCAATGAATGTTTATAGATCACCTACCATCTGCCAGATGCTATACTTAAACGCGGGGAATAAAAGATGAATATGACATAGTCTTTGCCCCCGAGTATGTAGCTTGCTGTAAGCATTTCCTTGTCATGTACTTGATAAATCAGGAGAAACTATATATATTTGTTTTGTTTCTGTATAGTCTGAGTTTTGTTGTCTCAGGATTACATCAGCTAAGCAAGTCTTCAAGAAATCAAACTCAGCCTTTTTGCCATAGGGTCCAAGTTTCAAAAGAAAATATACCTGGTTTACTAATTTAAATCCAACAACAGTGTGTCAGGTTGGTCCTGTGGTGTACACATGCCTATCTGTGCCTGCCAATGGCATGGCTCCAAGGAGGGAGCCCAACCACTGTCAAACAAGAGATGTATTATTTCTTTATCTTCTTTTTTTCAACCATTAACAAAGCCTTAGTAACCCAGCCATAAAAGCAAATTATAAACAGACTATATGTGGCCTTCTGTAATCTGATTTCAGATTGTTTAGACTGGAGTGCCAGTTCCTGGGGACACACATGCAACATACATAGATGGTATCAAGGCTGTAAGCCACAGAAGAGGCAAGGACTGTGGAAAAATATAGGTTACCAAAACAATTTTTAGAAAAGAATAAAATAACTGAAACAATGCACACCTTGCCAGATGTTTGCTCCAGCCCCAGGGCATGTCCTTTTTTGCATCACCCACCAAATGCCAGTCAGCATCTCACCCTAGAAGGTTCTGGATCCTTGAGTCATCTTTCTGTTTTGGATTCAGGTTTTGCTCACTTATTCTAGAATTTACTGACTCTTGTACTTCTTGGCTTCCTGCCTTGATCTTGGTGGCAAACTTGAATCGATTCTGAGCAACTTGCTCTATTTTCCTTATCTGGTTCATTGACTAGCAAATCACAGACCCCCAGGTCCTACCCTGACCACTAGGCTGACTGGTCTGCTCCTTTGGCTGGGACTTATAGACCTCCGTGAAGGGATGTTTGAGGATACAGTTCTCCATCTCATTTCATTATTTTCCTACTTTTTACTCTTGTTTTTAGGGACTCATAAATTTCCTTTACAGCTAATTAGCAATACAATATGCTATGAAGCCTCTCTCTTCCTGGCTGCAAATCCTAAATACCTGTTTTCTTTTTTCCCTGTATTTGTATGTTGTTTTGGGAGGGAGAGTGTACTTTATCTTTGGGGTATATTTATTAAGGGCCAAATAATATTTTCAGGTTACAGGAGAGCAGAGTTCCACACTGCATCATTAAGTGACTGTCCAACTTCACACCTTACCATTTGTTATGGTGCAAATGGACAATAGCAATAGCTCCCAAATTCAGTTTTCCTAATGACTATGCTCATTCAATGTTGTACAGATCTAATAGATATATTAGCCAAAGGGTTAGGTATTGGTGGTTCGATTTTATCAGCTAAGAAGGGTTAAAAACTCTATTTAAAAAATTAAATTAGGGACAGCTATATTTAGTGGCCTTTTGGAAAAAAGCAAAATGTAATCATCTATTCAAAATGTATAAAGCTTTTGGGACTTTGCTTTTGAGAATTCCATGTGTGTTCTGTCTTTAACAATTCTACACTCTTCCTGTGAAGTTACTACCAACTCTGTTGAAGGTAGCTGTGATTTTTGCCTAAATTTTCTAAATAAATGTGGTGAATAACATTATCAGACTGTCTGGCAAGTTGTTTGTGCTATCTCATTTCCAGATTATTCTGTGAAAAGGAATTTACATGAGTACCATTTTGCCCATTAAATAACTGTTTTTGCTTATTTTTGCTGGAAATAGTATTAACAATATACTCCAGTAATGATCTAGCCCAAGATGTTCTTGTGTTATTTTGGAGCAAGTTGCAAGTGACTCATAGCACATTGGGCTTCCAAGCTATGGTTAACTGGTGGTCAAGTTAGGAAATTCTGTTCCCATTAATTCTCCTTTTCTTAGCCCAGAACACCTCTCTACTCAGCTTTTTTTTTTTTTTTTTTCTTGTGATGCGTCACACTCATCGTCTCTGCTTGGTGTTTTCAGACCAAAAGTAGAAGCAATGGCATGGCATACAAAGTATTGTTCCTACTGCATTTCCAGCTTAGCTAAAAACAGGATGTACAGGCCGTTGTGTGGAAAAGTCCATTTTTGTGATATTCCCAACCAAAGAGGTTTGCATCAGCTTTTTTTGAGTGTCTGAACTTTTGGCTTCTTACTTACAGTACTCCTTCTAACTTCAGAAATTTAACACACTCTGTGCTGGTGCAGGCCATATTTAGATTATGTTGACATATGAATCAGTTTACTTTTAAATAATTTTTTGTTAAGTTGTACTTGTAGCAAAAAAAGGTACATGAGAAAGTCATACAGGGGCTGGTGCTGTGGTGTAGCGGGTAAAGCTGCTGCCTGCAGTGCCAACATCCCATAGGAGCGCTGGTTCAAGTCTTGGCTGCCCCACTTCCGATCCAGCTCTCTGCTATGGCCTGGGAAGGCAATAGAAGATGGCCCAAGTGCTTGGGCCCCTGCCCCCACGTGGGAGACTGGGAAGAAACTCCTGGCTCCTGGCTTCAGATGGGCCCAGCTCTGGCTGTTGCAGCCATTTGAGGAGTGAACCAGTGGATGGAAGACCTCTCTCTTTGCTTCTACCTCTACCTCTCTATAACTCTAGCTTTCAAATAAATAAATAAATCTTTAAAAAAAAGTCATACAAGAGGTAAAAGCCTAATTATGGAAAGGGCCATCATTTTTTTAGTTTCAGAAGTTCACTTACTTATTGGATATTTTATTTAAAATGGGTATAGTATTATAAATGTACTTGTAAAAGTATTCATTAAATGAATGTTTGATAAAAATTGCTATTTAAGGTAAATTTAAAATAAAAATTCTTGGGTGGGTAAAATAGCCTGACAACTCTTTTGGTTGGGAATGTGAGACCCTACTAGAAAATGGGTATGAATTGCTTTGCACTCTAAACATCCACTGATCTTTAGTAGTCCTAGAAGTCAGAGGGTGTTTAAAGTTAGAATTTGATATGTAATATGTATATAACTGATTTATTTATTTATTTGACAGGCAGAGTGGACAGTGAGAGAGAGAGACAGAGAGAAAGGTCTTCCTTTGCCGTTGGTTCACCCTCCAATGGCCGCCGTGGCCGGCGCGCTGCAGCTGGCGCATCGCGCTGATCCGAAGCCAGGAGCCAGGTGCTTATCCTGGTCTCCCATGCGGGTGCAGGGCCCAAGTACTTGGGCCATCCTCCACTGCACTCCCTGGCCACAGCAGAGAGCTGGCCTGGAAGAGGGGCAACTGGGACAGAGTCCGGCGCCCCAACCAGGACTAGAACCCGGTGTGCCGGCGCTGCAAGGCGGAGGATTAGCCTAATGAGCCGCGGCACCGGCCTATAACTGATTTATTTTTCAAGCTTTATTTATTTATTTGAAAGTCAGAGTTACAGAGAGGGAAAGCAAGGAAGAGAGAGATCTTCCACCTGCTGGTTCAGATGGCTGCAATAGCCAGCACTGGGCCAGGCAGAAGCCAGGAGCCAGGAGCTTCATCTGGGTCTCCCATGTGGGTGGCAGTGGCCCAAGCACTTGGGCCATCTTCTACTGCTTTTCCCAGGCCATTAGCAGAGAGCTGGGTCAAAAGTGGAGCAGCTGGGGTATGAACCAGCACCTGCATGGGATGCCAGTGTTTTAAGTGGTGGCTTTACCCACTATACCATAACAATAGCCCTATATGGTATATGTATTTCTAGATCCATTGAGGTAACAAGTGAATTGAATGAATTAGTGAGAGAAGCCAGATAAGGTTACAGTTTTGGGATTCTAGGCAAGTAGAGTGGCTTTGGGCAATTTATTGTGTTATTTTCTAGAACCAGTGAGGGTCTTCATATTTCTTAGTCTCTTTGATATTTTGTGACTGTGTAGATTGACCATAGTGAATTGAATACATTTCATTGTTTCATTTGTTCTCTTCTGATTTAGTCAAGTAGTATAATCCTAAACAGCATTTACCATGGTTTTCAAGCATGATAAACAGTCAAATAAACTATCATTCCAGATTGAATTGTTAAATAAATTCATTTCACTTATCTTTGTAAGACACAAATTGCTACAGATATTTTTTTCATCTTTGGTTTTGTATTAAAGGCAAGTCATCTCAAAGAAGGAAGAAGAGAAAAAAGGAAGATGGGAAAAATAATTTCAAAGTGTATAGAGATAAGAGGAGAATATTCAGAAGAGATTTTAATTCAATATTTGTTGAAGTTCTGAAATGGCTGAATAGTTCATTTTATTCCATGTTTTCTTGCTTCCATTTAGCAGGAATGTACTGGAAAGGATTGGAAATGGCTGTTCTTTCAGTTTTTTATGGTTTAGACTAAAAACAAAGTGCCAGAGTTCTTAAATGTAATCTCCCTTTATGAGATTCCAAGCCTTTGTGCAGACTCAGAAAGTGGACACAGCGTGTAGATTTTTAAAGAGTTCATCAAACTGTATATAACATCTTAAACTTCTAAAATTTTGCTCCTGGTTAGTTGACAATGTAACCTTCCATTCCAGGTCAAACCAC